CTCGAGTTTCTTGGAAGGGAAAGAAGAATTAGGTGTAGAGAAAGCCCTTTTCAGAGTCGGAGTGTCAGCATCATGGGATATTGTGGGCGAGGCAGACATGGCAGGCGCATGTGTTTCGAAACGAGGGCGGCGGGACGGGGTAGTGGGGAATGGAGGCTGGAGACAGGTTGAGAAGCTGTTTCCCGACTCGAAGATTGGTGGTAGAGTGCACATGGTCGAGCAGGTAACGGTTGACAGGTGACAGGTGCCCGTACAATGCCTCGACTACAGTCATGCTCGCCCAGACAGACAACGGGGCACAGGAATGCGGAGTTGGGACACGAAAAGAAGATGCGGCTTACCTGGGTGCCAACAGCAGTGGGGAGGGGCGCTGGCGTGGTGAATTGGAGCGAGAATACCAGATCCTCTACTAAGCGCCTGGGGGAAGGAGCGACTGGGCCGGCGATGCGCCTATGCCTGAGGAGATGCGGCGTAGTGGGTAAAAAGGGCAGGAGCGGGCGACGCAGCGGGTGCGGGTGGTGCGAGCGGCGGTGGTGAGGAAGGCGCGGTCGAGGGTGGGTGCCGCGCTCACGATGGGGGTCTGTTGCGACGCACTCTGGACGATGGGGAGGGTCGAGGGCAGAGTGGTGACCAGCTTGGGCAGTGCGGACGAGGGAAGCCGGTCGATCGCAGAGCCGCTGCCGCCTGGATGTGGGAGGAGGGGGTCGTGGTAGGCGAGGCGAGCACGCTGTGTGTCGTGATTGAGGCGGCGTGAATGCGTCTTGTCGATGGATGGGGGAGACGAACTGCGAGCTGCGCTAGTGGCTCTGTGGAAGCGCCGACGTTCCAGGAATAGCAACCGCCGCCGGTGCGCTACGAGGCAGCTGCGACCACTAGGACACTAGCATGTCAGACCCATGAGCGTCTTGGGACCATACTACACAAACGCGCCAGTCCACTCAACCACCGCGCCTTACAGCCTGTCTACCGTACCGCGGCCGATCTTGGTTCGCAGCGTACGCGTAGCCGTCATTTCCCTTGCCTAGCAAACAAATACTCGCCATCGCCGCTCCACAGGAGACTGCGCTCGACAAACTGCCCTTCTGCCCTTGTTCCCCGGACCTGGCGAACCTGGCGAGCCTAGAGTAGGCCCCTGGAGGCCGCATCCTGAAGACGGGAAGGCCCAGACGAGATACCTCGGAAAGAGGTTGGGGTCCGCGCCATATTGCATCCACCCCAGACAGTATGTAATCCGTCCCGTCTCCGGCCTCGACGCGCTCGAGATGAATTACTCGTCGTCCAGGTCGTCGTTGTTGTCAGCGCTCACCACCGCCAGGACACCCTGGCCTCGCTTCGCATGCCACAGCCATCGTTTCGACTCTCACTGCGTGCAAGACTGCGACTGCGACTGACTTCATCGCGGCCTTCTGAGGCACAAAACAGTCGGAGCAAATATCTGCAACGTGAAACGCACCGTGGGAACTTATCGACCCACCTGTTGGCGGGGTGAGTTTTTGCGTCTCCGTCATGTGAGGATTACCACGCGTTTCATCTCTCTGCCGTCAGTTTCGCAATCCTAAACTCTCCCACAGCATTTGTGGAGCTTTTTTCCGTATGACTGCCAGGCAGAGCCGCAGTCCTTGCAGTACCTGCCGAAACGTATTTCCACCTCTGCCGCCACCTGTGCCCTGAATGTTGGTAATTTGTTCTTTCTGTTACGCAAAGCCCCGATTCGGCGAGCCCACACCAAATGCGTTTCAGCATCTTTTAACACCGGCAGAATCCGTCCTAAAAAGCAACGCGACACCGATTCGGGTACCCATGCGAAGATCCAACGACTCAGGACAGTCCGCCTCATCTTCCTGGGCACGTGCTCTTGAGATCGGGATAGGTCGACTGAGCGACTCATTGGTAGTTTCCATACTTATCAACTTGCAACGTGGAGATCAGAGCCCAACTCTTCGCTACCAACTAGACGGGTTTCCCGACTGAGTCGTCCTTGGGAAGTGTTCTGGCCTCCCAACACAAGGCCCCAATAAGGCCCGAGTCTCTTTGCCGGCCCTGACGCTACACGCAGTGAGTCGTAGCAGCTGTGACAGAACAGTCTGGTTCTCCCGCTATTAGGGTGATTTGGACCAAGCAGCATTCTTTTCGAGATAAAAGATAAGGGGTGATGTATCACGGGCCTCAGTAAGGTTCAAATGTTTGCGATCGTGCTGGCGGTCCGAGAACCTAATCCTCTGCGACGACGTCGACCAGCAAGCAGGGACGTGCTCTGTACATTTCATGGTCGACCTGATTATAGGTTTGGTTGTGCGTGAAGTCTCAACATACTCAAATGAGGTTCATGCGCCCCTGTGGCCTATGTGCCGTGGTACCTGTATTGTAGCACGTCACCACGACACACTGCGCGCATGTCATAGCTTTTTCGGACTTGCGTCCGACTTCATAACATGGAACGCCATGCTCGCTCACAAGAACGGGTAATGTACCTTTGTGTCCAGCTGTAGTCACAACTTTGACATGGCCGCTTTGCATATCTCAGCTGGATTAGAACACTGCCAGAGACATATGTAACAGGTTGTGGGTGCTGCATGAGAATGGGATGTGACTGTGTCAGGAGCTACAACTCGCTGTTCATTCTTGCCGAGTCACGCTGTTCCCTAAGCATACTTGAAGATATGACGGAAGGATAATGCGCTCATCTGTAGATGTGGTTAAACTGCACTCTTTGATAAGAAACTTCGATGTATTGGTATTGGAAATTGACTCATCCCACAAGCTAAATGTCCATTCAAAGGAAGGCAAGCTATGTATTACTTGCAGCCTCTACATATGTAAAAGACGAGATCTAATGTCTGGTTTCTTCATAATCAGTACCTGACATGGCCGTAGTAACGATAAACTGAGCGTGGCTACGTTCGCCTTCATCCACGAAGAAATTGGGGTAGAAACCTTCAAACCCATCATCGCTTGCGCCTTACAGTATAGCTCCAGGTTCAGAAGATTTTAATAACGTTCGCAAAACTCCAGGCAAAAGTGCATGTTCTGTTGTTCAGCGTGCAGATGCACTCATAAATGACCACCACTAACGCCAAGCCAAAGCAGGCTAGCGCCGCCCACCATGCGAAATTCAAGCGAGCCCGAAGAACTCGAAAGTCGAGAGCCTCTTCTTTTCGCGACAACTAACCACCAGGTCAATCACAACAGCGATCATGTCGAGGCCAACCGTCACCGTCGTCTCCGCCAAGGGCGAGGCCACCAAGGACACCGTCCCCGTGCCCAATGTCTTCAAGGTCAGTTCCGCCGCAATTCGAACTTCGCGATACGATGCAAACCACAACCGGAGGGACTGAGGGCTGCAACGGCAGCTGGAGGAGTGCAGACATGGGAAGAACACTGAAAGAGCGGGGACACGAGTGGCAACGGAGAATGCTTGCATTGAGCTGGAATACGCAGAGTTCTTCCCATGATGCGGCCTCATGAGAGTATAGCGAAAGCCGCACTTTTCTGGCTTGTCTGCTTCTCTCAGTCTTTTGGATGTGGCTCTGCAACGCATTCGGACACGCTTCAGGTATTTTGGCCAATGCTAACAACTCTTCCAGGCACCCATCCGCCCTGACATCGTCCACGCGGTGCACACTGGCATGAACAAGAACCGCCGCCAGCCATACGCTGTGTAAGCCTACCTCGCGCACTGCACAACCACACAATCTAACAACAAGCAGCTCCGAGAAGGCTGGTCACCAGACTTCTGCCGAGTCCTGGGGTACCGGTCGCGCTGTGGCCCGTATTCCCCGTGTCTCTGGTGGAGGTACTCACCGTGCCGGTCAGGCTGCGTTCGGTAACATGTGCCGCTCCGGTCGCATGTTCGCTCCCACCAAGGTCTGGCGCAAGTGGCACCAGAAGATCAACCTGAACCAGAAGCGTTTCGCTACCGCGTCTGCGCTCGCTGCTTCAGGAAGCCCTGCTCTTCTCCTTGCCCGCGGTCACGCCATCAGCACCGTCCCTGAGGTTCCCCTCGTCATCTCATCGACTGCTTTCGCCGATGCCGCCATCAAGAAGACTTCCGCCGCCGTCGCTCTGCTGAAGGCTGTCGGTGCTGGTGCCGATGTCGAGAAGGCCCGCAACACACGCAAGGTCCGCGCTGGTAAGGGTAAGCTCCGTGGCCGCCGCCACACTCAGCGCCGCGGACCCCTCGTCATCTACAACCCCGAGGAGGATGGCAAGGAGCTCGTCCTTGCTTTCCGCAACATCCCGGGTGTCGAGACCTCATCCGTCTACTCCCTGAACCTCCTCCAGCTCGCCCCCGGTGGCCACCTCGGTCGCTTCATCGTCTGGACCTCATCCGCTTTCAGCGCTCTCGACAAGGTCTACGGATCCACCGCTGAGCCCTCAGCGCTCAAGAAGGACTACCTCCTGCCCTCCACCATGATGAGCCAGCCCGACCTTAGCAAGATCATCAACTCCAGCGACGTCCAGAAGGTCCTCCGCCCCGTCCGTGGTGGAGCCGTCTCCAAGCGTGGTGTCGTACAAAAGAAGAACCCGCTCAAGAACTTCCAGGTGCAGCTCCGCCTCAACCCATACGCTGCTACCTTCTCCAAGGAGAAGCTCGGCCAGAAGAAGCTCGAGCAGGGCAAGCCCGAGTATGCCACCGAGACCTTCCACGAGCTTATGCACGAGAACTAGATGGTTGTTGGTTAGCGTTATGATTTCCTAAGGTGTTCTCTCTTCGGCTGGGATGGACTGGAATGATGAATAGCTATGACAAATGTAGCTCTTCACAAAATGCCTCTGAGAAGGTTTCACTTCCACTCCTACTTATGATCATTAAATCAGGCGTTGCATTGATGAAGTTCGTCCACATGTTGCGGATAGTTGTTCCTAGTAATGTGGTATTGCATGGTCGTCAGCGTTCCACTGACTTTGAGATCTCTTCCAAGTGTACTCTCATTCTAGCAATACATTTCCCAAACGCCGTCGCTATGCTTCAAAGTTGCTCTCATCGCGAGAACAAGACCTCACTTGAACAGCCGCCTTCCACCCGTTCTGCCCATAGTCCTCTCCACACCCTCCAGACTCATGCCCGCGAATCCAGCACCCCCACCATCCCGATCCCTCTTGTACCTCCTCAGTGCCTCTCTCAGATGCGCCGGCGTAAGCGGTCCCTTATCACACGCCTTCAGCCTATCCTGCAAACTAGCATCTTTCTCCACCTCCTTCCACAGACTCTCCGTGCGATCAACCTGCGTAGGATACCAGCCCGCACTCGTAATATCGGAATTAGTCGGCCTATTCCTATCATCCTTGATATGAGCACTAGGTCTGACCAGACTCTGACTGAGTATGGGGCCTGGTAGGTTGGGGTTGGGGAGATGAGTGCGGACGGCGGACCATTCGTCGCGGACGGTGAGGGCGCGGTCGATGAGCTCGCCGATGAAGGTTTTGGAGTAGGAGGTTACGGCGATGATGATGGGTTGCGGGACGGATTGGGAGAGGGTTTGGTTGACGAGTTTGCGGACGGTTTCGCGCTTGAGGCGGATGCGGCGGTAGGTTGCGTAGCGGTCCATTTGCGCGGGTGTCATGAAGTCTTCTAGCATGCTGTTGGATCACATCGTATTAGTAAACGGCTCTAAGAGGGGAATGGTAGAGGGCGTAGAGGAGGAACGTACCGTTCGTATTCCTTCTCCTGTTTCCTGCGTGCTTCAACACTCATGCCGCCTTCGATTTCCATGCCCATTTCCTCACCCATCTCGTCATCGTCGTCGTCTTCTGCTTCTTCTCCGCCGTCGCCATCTTCGTCTTCACCTCCTATTGCGCTTCGTCCGTCGGCGCCTTTGCCGCCTCTCGCGCTTGAACCCGCGACACTGCCTCCGTCTCCTCCCTTCTTCCGTCGCTTCTTCCCTCCTACGCCATTAACGACGGATGTGGTGATGTTACTTTCCACAGACGGTGAACGCGAGTATTGGCGCGGGGAACCGCCGACTGATTCGGCATCTGGTGAGAAGGCGTTACGTAGGTTGGAGGGTTTGCGCTTTTTGGTGGGTGCGCCGGAGTGAGAGGATATGCTGCCGCGCTTGCGACTGCCGGGGACGTTGAGCTGGGGGATGTGTGGTGGTGAAGCCATGGTCGCGCGATCAACAAGAGTACCGGCCTCTTGTGCTGGCGTCGTAGTAATGGGGGGTGGTTGGGTGGGAAGGCTAACTTCTGCGGGTTGGATAATGGAATGGGCCCTGGGGAAGTCGCGATCTCCGCCAAGCAAAATGATGGAGCGTCGACTAGCGCGTTTTGTGCTCGGAAAGCGCGACCGGGTGATTTCGTCATCGACACTCGGGAGATGGATACTTGCGCCTGTTGCTCTCATTCAGCGTCTGCGCTCTCGACTTTCACTATGTAAAACGAGATAACAGCAGGCGATCTGCCATTAATACCAATTCACACGCATAACGTTTGCCATCTTCACTTTGCGTCCTATACCCGCACACAGCCCAGCGTGCCTCAAAGATGCCATCCTACGAAGAATCCTACGGCCAGCAAGCCGCCCAAGCAGCAGGCACAGGCGCAACCGACACCGATGGCGCCGTACAAGCACCACCCGACGCACGATCTACCTCTGACCTCCCACCTGCCGCCCTCGACCTAGCAGCGCGCCTCTTCGACCTCGCCCGCAGCGGGGACACATCGACCCTCTCGCAATACGTCAGCGCCGGCATCCCCAAAAACCTCACCAACTCATCCGGCGACACACTTCTCATGCTGGCGTCCTATCATGGCAAGGCTGAGACTGCGAAGATGCTGCTGGATAACGGCGCGGATGCGAATGTGCTGAATGGGAGGGGCCAGAGTCCTATTGCGGGGGCTGTGTTCAAAGGGTACGATGATGTTGTTAGAGTGCTGTATGAGGGGGGTGCAGACGTAGAGAAGGGACAGCCGAATGCGGTGGACTGCGCGAGGATGTTTAAGAGAGGGAATTGCTTGAAATTGTTTGGTGTCGAGGAAGGAGAGGGGACCGTGGTGGATGTCGATGCACATGCTGTGTCGTAGTGGAGACTCCGCAGTGTTGATGATGTGTACTAGACTTGCTCACTCGTTCAGGGCCGGCACAAGAATATCTAGAGGGTATAAATGAATTACTGCTGAAGCTGAATACTCAACTCATGCTATCCGACTCAACACAAAGTCTGGCAATCTAATCCTTTCGAAATAACCTTCCTGCAAATCATGGTATCATATCATCGTCCTTCGGCCCCAACTCCCTACTTCTTCTCCTCCTTTCCCTTGCCGCCACCAAACATGCCTCCAACGTATCCACCAGCACTCTTCGCGCCGCCAGCAACACTGCTTGCACCTCCTTTCACACCATCTGCAGCACTCTGTCCATAACCACCCAGTGGTCCTTGACTCTCAATAGAGTTTCCCTTGTCGTCCTTGCCGCCACGCTCAGCACGGTTGATGCCCTCTTTGGAGACGGCATCACCGAGGGGTTGTGCAAGTCCTCCCTTGCCGACTTGGCCGCCGACGAGGTTGTTTACGCCGTCTTGGAGGTTGTCGACTTGGTCGACGCCTGTGACCTTGGTCTGGTCGAGTTGTTCTGTGGGGAATATACGTTAGCGATGTGTAGTTAGCGATGGGTTAAGATGTAAGAGACGTACGTTTGGTAGCGTAGGAAGCCTTGTTATCCTTGGTGAACCACTTCAGGTACTGGTCCTCGATCCATGGCATCCATGTCTCGTACTTTTGGTTGTAGTACTCTCCCGCGGACTCCCTGTAGGTCTTTTGCGATCCCTTGTTCTGGTCTGTCATCTTGGGCAGTATGAATACTGTTTATTAATCGTATTGGAGTGTAGAGATAGTGAGGTGGATTATTCGTAAGGTCGTGTGTATTTGCATGTGAAGACGCAACATACAGATCAGGCAGTCAGCCATATATACTCCACCTGCATGCCTGCGCCTTCCCGTGTGTACGCCATCTGCGCCAGCGGTGATCTCATCCTCGATCACTTGCACCGTGCTTGTTACAAGTTTGTGGCCCGCTGTGGTGGCATCGAGACAGGGGTGGGTGCGTGGATGGGTTGCGCTATACGCCATCTGAACCAGAAACCCAGACCAACTGATCGTCCCGCGTGGAAACCTGCATCTCGGACAGCATCTCTTGGCTGGACGGCCGCCATTCAAGTTATCTACGCGGGGCCAAGGGCGCCTGGACTCTAGGGCTGGACGTCTGTTGGGCTCGGCTTGGTTGGTTCGTGGGGTCGCTGATTGTGTAGGCGGGCTTTGGTGGGTGCGATGACTGGGCGCTAACAGCTGGCTGCGCTGATGGACGTCTTCAACCACCTGCATGCGAGGGCAGCGGCTTTGTGGGTATTGAGTATGGCGTAGAGATACTGATGTATATCTAACGAGAGACATGTACAAGCTTGTCAACATCGCAGCGTCCAACGCGGTGATGCTTTGGTAGGAATGCGTCACGACAGTCACGACACGAATGCAATATCCTCAGCAACTACAGCCACGAATGTTCGTACGGCATATCGCGACACGCCGGCATCTCATCACACTTCTTTGGTTCTATTTGTATACTCGCATTTCTACTTTCCCAGCGATATGGAAGGCAGTCAGAAAGCCTGTACCCTGAAGAAATTCAGTGTGCTCTATCATGTACATTTGCATTCTGAACTACGTTGAGTATCTCTACGATCTGGTTTACTAAGCACGATATTGTACAGAAAAGTAGATACAGGTATACAACCGCCGGATTAGGCTGGACTTCCAGTCGCACTTTCCTCACTCACTGCCGATTACACAACGCTCCTTCACTTGTTAGGCCTTGGCATTTTTCTTTCTCACCGTCCTCCTTCGCACATTGAATTACCCACAACACCATCGTTCATTCACAGTCTTTCCGCCACCGGCGGCGTTCGAACGCTTCATGCGATAAATAGGCTTACTATCGCTCAAATGTCTGACACCGACCCCGCCGATTCTGCGCTTCTCGTCGATCCGCAAGCCATCGAACAACTCAACCGCGCAAGGCGCCAGCTTCGTCGATCCAGAAACTCGGTTCGTGTGTCTAGAGATTTCCTCCAGCTACTCGACCGGATTGTGCCCACCCTCACAGTTGACGAGCTTCGAGAACTTTCGCAGATTCATCAGAACATGTCGCGTAACTTGCGTACACGCGGTGGGGCTACCGGAACTGCAGGCGAAGACAATAACATTGTTGTTCCGGTGTCTGTGCCTCAAGCCCAATCCGCTCTCAAGCCTGCTACGACGCTTGTTTCTATGCTGCCAAAGACCCCATACAACGAGGTGAAGGAGGCAGAGGGGACCGTGAACACACCCGCTTATACCAAAGTACAACTTGCGCTCTTGGAGTACCTTAACAAGTAAGTGGTACACATGCAAGGACTGATGTGAGAGATGTACTGACGCTCTTTAGGCACGCATCCGAGAAGCTCACGGTCCGGCAAGCTCATAACTGGACAGAACGTATTGCAGACAACTTGCATCCCGCTGCCAAGGATGCGCTGCGTCTCTGCTACTACATGCGCTCGCAGGGCTTCGACACGTACGCCGATGTTCGGGATGGCTCCATCGAGCTGTATCTCTCCAAACAGGTAATTTCAGCTGTCCAAATTGTATCCGAGGCGTGTACTAACTTCGTTCGTAGGCACCAGAGAAGGGTCGCAGCAAGGCCTCGTTGTATTGGAAGCAGAATTACTCGACGAACGCCATCGAGCACACGGTATCTGAAGCATATGTCCCACCCCGTCCGGCGCGATACGACGATTTCATGCCCTCGGAATTGTCCGGGACTCAACTTCTGGATGCTCTCTTGGCTGGGCCAGGTCCACCTATCCCGCAACATGCAGGTGGCCCTGGAGAGGATGTAGGAGACCAGGCCGCTCCGGTACCTGAGGGCGACCAAACACAGGAAGACGTTGAACCGACCGAGCATAATGTTGCTACTATGCTCGCCGTCGCTCAAGCGGACCTGGAGGCTCAGTTCATGTCTGATACCCCCGATTCAGAGTACGTCTCCATTCCGTTCCAATCAGTGACCCCTACTAACAAACTGTTTAGCGCCGTTGAAGCTCTGCTCGCCCGAATTGAGCAGCTCAATAGCCAGGAATAAGAGGACTAGGTTGTGCGCAAACATATGGGATGAAGCACTTTGAGGACTACATAGGGTTTTAACCGACACTTTTGTGGCATTTTCGTGCCTTGTAGACTCCAGGATGTACTGTGGCGTAGTTGCTAGATGAGAATACAACTCCGTTTGGCACTAGAATCTTGGCAATGGTCATGCTCGCGAATATTTAACTCTGCCAACTTTCTGCTGCCTTGCTCCTTCAAACTCATACCACAGTTAAAATTACTAAAGGCAAAATTCGCAAATGTCATGGCTGCTGAGACCCAAAAACAAATACATCCAGGACTTATGTGTTGGAAAGAAAACTCAAAACCATGCGCGACAAGGCTTTGTCCTGACCGCGTTCGAGCTGCTGCCCATATAACACGCTCGCAAAAGCCATGACTAGAAACGCGCTTCTAGTACTTAATGATCGTACGCGATCGTGTTCCGTGTTTCAAAGAACATGTAATCCAAGATGATGTGTTACTCTCCCATCACTACTGTCGCTGAGATATATGTCTTCTCATTGACTATATAAAACACTTCCACGGCGCTTTTCGAACTGTCATTCTACAACTAAAACTACATCTAGTACCTCAAAGATTCAAGGTACAGTTTGATGATCTTTCTCGAGAGTCTAAAAAAATTACTACGTCTCACGCATGTCTTGCCCGCCACCAGCGCCCCCCTAGAATCATCAAACTGAGATCACATGTCTGTTCAACGCCAAAGACTTCATTCATGATCGGGCTCCAAAGTCAGCCTCCGCTACTATGATATTTTTTCAAAGCCTAGGCAAAGGTGACTAGCGTGCGGCCACCATATATAAAGAGCTGTTCTCCTTCCTTACTTCAACTCTCCACAAACACACAAAACGTGCAGTTTCCTAAAATATCATGACAGATGACTCATGTCGTCCTGAAGTCGACGTTTCAAAACACTCGTTTTCCCTGCACATGCTTTCTGAAGGAGAATTGGCCATGACATAGTCT